CGTAACGAGGCAGTTAGAAAGCGTGTTTTCGGTTGTGTAACGGGTACTTCCATTGAAGAATGTGTCCAGCACCAGAAGCTGCGTTGGTTGGGACATGTATTGCGTATGCCGAACCATCGTTTGCCGAAGAGAGTGCTGTTTTCCATGCCCAATTCGGAGTGGCGTAAACAGAGAGGTGGCCAACCCTTGACTTGGCAGAGGAGTATGAAGGAGATCACGAAACGCTTGGGTGCTGTCGGTGCTACTCGCCTTCCAGGATGGGGACCGCGTGATCCTCACTGTGCCTGGTTGGATACACTACAAGATATGGCTGCCAACCGATGTCAGTGGCGTTCTTGTTGTCAGTTTCTATCCAGATTGCCTGAGTGAATGTCTGGAGGTGTAGGCACCTCGGAATGATTGTGTTAAGCTAGCACTAAGTCGCTCCCCCGTCCACCTTTACTCTTTTCTTTACAATAAGGCTTTCAAATAAGTCATGGTTGTACGGCAGTGAAGCATTGGTGTTGAACACTGATGTCATGCTGTCGATGATGATGATGAGCACTCTTTCGGGGCCTAGCTGCCATGCCACACCAAGGAGGCACGAGGGCTGGGATACTGCCAGGTTGCCCAAGCCTAGACAGGGGAAGTTGAGTGGCAGAGGTCGGGTTCGAACGACGGTCAGTAAATTCGCGCTCTAACCACTTGAGCCATCTCGATTTGGCGATGGAGTCAATTTGGCCTACCTGATGCTCATGAACAATCATTGTACGGTTATTTCATTTCCACACTCGGAACGCGCTAGAACAGTGGATCAGCTGCTGTTTCTCTACTTGGTAATAGGCCTGTGGTCCTTCTACCCATTTGGCACTCGCTCCCAGCACATTGTCCACTCAATTCCTGTTAGTTATTCACAAGTCTTTATTGGCTAATCATAATCCAGCTTTGCGTTTACACTTATCGCGAACCCGAATATCGGAACTTCACCGTGAAACATTTGACCCCCCCCCCCCGGTGTGGTTGGTTTTGACGCAATCACTACTCTATTTATTTATTTATTGTTTCACTTCAGATTGTTCTGCCTCATACCACTGTCAACGACCCGAATTCCAAGGGCACAGAACGTATAACAGAAACTAGTGTTGAGTCGTTTCTCAGTCAACTTGGTCAATTGCACAAATCCAAACAGCATATGGATGTGGTCAACAAGGTGATCCAGGCTTTGAACACTGCCATTGCTAAGAAAGTACTGAAACTGCTTATTTGAGTTTCAAAGGGGCATCCATTCCGTGTAAATTATGTACATACTTTGAATGGTATTATTTTGTTTTGAATATACATACTTCATTACCGTAACTTTGGACTTCTTCGTCGGACGCCTCCAGCGTTTACAGCGGACTTCAGGTTCCAGGAATGTGTACGTCACGCTGGAGCTTATACGTCCGCTGTAGTTGTTCGACAATGGTAAAAGCGTCATGTGACAATAGGTTTTACCGGTCGAAGTAAATTAGTTTTGATCAGGGTTTGTCACGGATGGTACAAGGTTGAATTTCACTGAAACGGAAGAGCACCGTCCTGCTTCACGGCTGTGAACTTTGGGTTCTCTGATTTGAAGATCTGAATTGTCCTCAAACATATATGTAGACTGATGCTCTTGAATCGTCACTGGTATTTGTTGGGAGCACCTACGTGGTAGTAGTCGAGTACTGTGTAGTGGATCAACCTCTGTGGGGGAGAAAATAGGACTAGGCTACTCCATTGTCATCCAAAGTTCGCGTTGCACCCCTCGTAACTGGAACTTGCGAGACAACACTGAACAGGCTATGAGATGGGACGCGAAGTGAAAGATGACACTTTCAGTTTGTGCGCTGTAAGATTTTGATACCTTCCGAGTGATCACTCTAGCGCCTATCTTTAACCTCTACGGAGTGTGGGGCATAGCCAGTTTGAAGTCTATGGACAAGATATATGTTTAATCTCAGTATCGAGTTCATGCCTTTCCTGGGATCTCTCAGAGATGCAAAATCTATAACTTTTCAATACGTCCAGCGAATAATCCTATTCATGTCTGAGTTGTTCCCAAAGAGTCTTTAGCCGGAAGGGAAAGGGATACAGAGCCATGGTAGGTCAATATCGCTTACAATTGTGACTTGTCGCGCGGAGACGAGCATAATGTACAAATCGAGCATAGCCCACCGAACAATCACACGGTCCTCGTACATGTTTCACGCCGAGATTCCGAGCCACTCTTTTTGGCATACACCACTGGTTGATTAACTGTGTAAAGGGTAACCAATTGAGAGCCATCCTCCCTCCTGAATGCTTCTTTCTAGTTTCACTTGGAGATCCGATTCCACCACAGTGTACTATGATGGAGTCACTGCGAACCTGAAACAGCATATTATTTGATTTGCAATCTTGGGGTTTTGTGGGATGCGTATTTTGTTCATAGCCACACCACTCTCGTTTGAACGGTCGTCTTCCTGTTCTGGCGTAATTGTTCCAGTGAGTCCACACCAAAGGGAAGCACTGGAATCGAGCCTCGCTCTTATATTAGAGCGATCATCAGTGCATATCCAATGGCCGTGCCGGGAATCGAACCCCGGACATCTGACATGNAACCACTACTCCACCGACGCACGTTGGACGCATCTGAATCATCACGTCTGAACAGGCGAACGTGTTCACACTTGCATATCTACGTCGACTGATCTGGCTGAGAACACCAACATCATCGTCGGATTCTCTTCATTTATTTCAATGAGAAACACTTAAAAGTCCCAAAGACAAGCTGACTTCCACGGCCACAAGTATGTTCATTCAACAATTCCAGCGTTGAAATTCAGCTGACTGTGTTGGGTAAACGACAAAACAACTGCCAAAGAAGGTAGAAGTGCACCTTTCGATATGGAAAAAGAAGAAACATCGAAGGTGCAGTTTTCGGACATTCAGCTGCCTCGATTCGATGCATCAAAAGAATGAACCTTCCTGGTTTGGTGTTGATTACCCCAGTACAAATTCACTAGAAACAAACCAAGAATATTAACTGCAGCTGGGGCTGGTATCATTCGACTTTGAAGGCCCTATCTATGGGAACAAAAGCAATTTGCTTAAAGCCAATCTGGGCCAATCATAGTGAAGATCCTGTGCAAGTTTCCGGCCCAACGGCTGATGGCTCAAAATGAGTCATGTGACCTATAGTATCCGGACAATTTTATTCTGGTTGACCCGAATGAAATTGGTCGGTACCGGTAACCTAGCTAACTGGTCGGTGATGTCCTTCGCTTTCGTCTTCGCGTTTCTCATGCCTGATGTAATGTCACTGTACTGGACTTCAAAATAAATTATCTGAAACATAGTTCTCCTAAATACTCAGTGGACGTATTCCAAACACATCTGGGATACACCAACTGACGCCTGGATATTGGTGTTCCAGGGTTCACTGACAGGACAGTGCTGGTACAGTTTTTGATGGTCCCACTCTTTGGTCGGTTGAATCCAGTCAGATGAATGAGTACTGAATCAAGAATGTAGCGGTGTACATGGTCGTCGACTCGAGTGATCCGAATCAAGTTCTTCAGTATGTTTTGAGATTCGTTACTGGTGCTCATCTTGCTCATCTACACACCTTTTGTTTCAGTGATAAGGACTCAAACCGATGCACAGTGACGAATCCTCAGTTCGGTGGGGCTAGCTCCCGGATACTCTGGGGCTAGATGATATTCTCGGAACGGTTGGGCGTGTGTTAGAGCAAGTGGTGTCTGCAGAAAGAATTTGGAGTACCACTGAACAAAAACCTGGTCGCTCCATCCATGTGTCTGTCTGCATGTTCTCTGATGATTCGATCTGCCTGTAGAAGCAGGATTTCGAGCTGTGACATGCTAGCAGTTACAGTTTTTGTGTTCCAAAGGGACGCCCCAAAAACTAACCTGATGTGTACGGATCTTTACCAGTGAAACCCACTTCATTTGAAGCCTTCTGATGTCAAGATTCTACAGAGCATAACAACTGTATTTAAATCCACAATCTTATGAAGTGAGGAGAGGTCATCAATCAGAGACATCACTTTCTCTGCGACACTCCGCACTCTTTATTTTTTATCAGTGATATCACTTGACTTTGGTAGATGCTTCATTGAGCTGTCTTTCGACTCACGTATTCCGCCCTCGTGCCCTACTCTTCCGGCGCTTTGCTGGTTTTGAACCAAAAACCGATGAGCTACTGTACAGGAGCACGACAGATCTATTAGCATAGAGGCCAAAGCCGCTCCTTTCCAGGTATTGTAATCATTCCAATACTCATTAACACAACCCAGCTGCACTCCCATGCAGCATATTTACTCTTGTCGTTGGAAAGCGAGCTCGCCTTTCTCTGGCCGTGTGCAAAGCGAAGGAGTGACATTCTTACAGTTTATTCTTATCACAGCTACTTATCCTAGTTTTGGCCTACTTCAGGGACGTCTGGGGCATCTCAATCAACGAACTTCAATGAGCAGATTTAGTGTCATTATAGACGATTGTATTTTAAGGCCACGATAGCACACGATGATGGACATATCATGCAGGCAATAGAACAGCACCGCCCAAAGACTAGTCGAGAACCGGCATGGTTCTAATTCTTCAACACATCGCAACAACACTCTTGTAAGACCTAGTGTGCACTCTCTCCCGATGGTGACCGTGGCGATTGCGCCGAACTCAAGGTCTCCCTTTTTTGTCTCGTCCCACCGTGCAAGCCAAGCACTGGGAAGAATATCCTCAAGAGATCCGCCCCCAGATTGGTCCGGAGCGGCGTATTTTAACAGTACCCCTTTCCCCTCAACTTTTAGTCTGTACTTTCCCGTTGTCTCTCCCTAAAGGGGAGTTAATCACAATATCGTACCAACAAACTTCCCTCCGTTTTTACTCAGCACATTAATCAGCTGCCCGCGGGGTATTTGAACTAATGTATTCACTGTTCCATCTTTGAACATCTTTTTCCCCCACCGTGACTGCATGATAGTAAAACAACAGTAGTTGTCAAAGACTGAAGTCCCGCTGTGCATTATCACTTCGACTCTATTCGTCTGTAGGTCAAACCTCCAGTTAACGAGTAATCCAATTTTTTCAATTTCATTTCCAGCCTGGACCGTCACATCAAATTGCCTAGTTATGCAATCGAAACTATCACGTTTCGTTGTCCGGACGATTCCCAAAATTGGAACTTTGGTTCTGTCTGCTATTACTGTGGCCTACTTGTGGAATTACATGCAAATAAAAACACAGCTTAAAAAACAACGTACGAGCATCGATGAGCCCATGATTGTAGAGTTTTACAAACAAGTGGAAAAGGAGTCATCTGGTTGGAAAAACAAAAGAGTTCCTCGCTCCTGGGAGGAATCAGATGAAAAATAACTGTCTGTTTGTTTATCCCCTGTTTCATTAGTATATTGCGACTTCAGTTCATTTGTATAGAATATACTTTTCTTTATCAAGTTTCTAAGATTACTGTGTTCATTGAGACTAGAGTGGTGGAACACTGACTGACTAATCCATGTCGATGTCCGCAAACAAGATGGATTTTCGTGTAGTGGTATGGTAATAAATAATAATAATAATCGTTCACCTATTGCACCCTTTCGGTGCCTAGCTACCATGCCACACCAAGGAGGCACGAGGGCTGGGATACTGCCAGGTTGCCCAAGCCTAGACAGGTGAAGTCGAGTGGCAGAGGTCGGTTTCGAACCACGGATCTTCTGGTCAGTAAATTCGCGCTCTAACCACTTGAGCCATCTCGACCCCTAGTGGAGTGGAATGTCGAGTCACTGCTAATGGAAGTCGGTCCGAAATACTCTCATTTGCAAGTTAATTTTGTGTCAGTGGGAAACCCAACTAAATCGCCGGGAATGCTTTAAGTACCCGGAGAAATTCATGGTTCATTCTTCTTATCATACTTTGGTGTCAGTGATACTCTTGGCACTGTTTAGTCGTCACAAACTAGGTTTTTATGTTTCCCGATGACCAGCGCTTCTGAAAATTGCAGCAGTCTCCCCGGAAGTTAATCGGGAGGCTGCCGTCGTGTTTACCATCCTCACGACGGTATTCCTGAATTAGCTTCGTGTTCGATGCTCAACTTTGCATTTTGGTGCAGATTGTTGAGAAACTCCAATAGAAATTCGATGTGAATTCTCGAAGTATAAGTCGTTATGCAACACATTGCGTTTCGAAAGAGATGTGTTTGTTATTCAAGAATAGCCGTAAACATCAGTTGAAAGCTGCCTCGCCCCTCCGTTTGCTTACAACAGGGTTCTTGAAGGCTGAAACTCGCATTTTTAGTGCACAAAAATCGTTCAGCTGTAGCCATGCCACAGGGGGGAGGCACGAGGGCTGGGATGCTGCCAGGTTGCCCAAGTCTAGACAGGGGAAGTCGAGAGGCAGAATTCGGGTTCGAACCATGGACCTTCCGGTCAGTAAATTCGCACTCTAACCACTCGGTCCATCTCGCCCCGATTAGTGCACAAAAAGAACAACTGTCTTATTTGTGTCATCTGTGTATCAGTATTGTCAATGTTTGCGCTGAATAGAGTGACAAACACAAACGCTGTCTCCTTTAAGGGCGCGTTCGTGAATGGAAAACTAGTGTCCATTGATGTAAGGCGTCTGTGACGATGTTCAAAGTCGACGGAGAAGATACTAAATGATGACTTTCACTGACAGTGTTGTTGGATAAATTATCATTATCACGTTGCTAAGGTTTCACGAGCCATTCTGTTATTTTGTGTTAAGATGACTTAAGCGCATTAGACTGGTTTCAAAGAGATACGCAACTTCGTAGTACAACGGCCGAGACTACTGATGCGACGCGAGTAGTATGTGGTTTTCTCGTAACTCCGCATCGCATCTAATGAATGGTGGGATTTATTACGGAACCTGTGGAACTACTTTGAAGCGTTCGTTTACAGTCGTGTGATAGTCGATGAATATCCATGAAAGTTCGAGGGAGAGGCATGGGAATGTTCGGTTTTTAAAACTAAGGTGCATATGAGATGTTTACTTTCCTGTCCGATTGCTTGTGGCTGCCTTGTTAGTGTTCCCCAGTGTTCCCTAGAACAGTGTCACGCTCAGCCCTCAAACTCTGCAGATCGGTGTAGTGAACTTCAGACAAGTCCATCATGTGTCTTTTTCATGATATTGTCCCGAAACACGAAAGCTTTAGGAGTTCATCACAGTTCATTAGCCTAGTAGATTTCATTCCACAGGTCCGTATGCAGGAAACATCTGATCAGCTTTTTTCGTTTAGCGCCTGATTCAATTGTTTCTGTACCCTCGTTTGAATGACACTCACTCTTAACGCAATCCGTTTAGTGCCTGCACTGTCCACACCATTAATTCATGCATAAAATTGGATATGCGGTTTGTATGTGCCTAACGGAGATTTCTCCAGCCCGTTTTGTCGAAGGTCGTCTAGACATATGCTGTCAAGAAACTTTCTGAGATCTTATGGGAGCTAACAAAAAATTCAAACTCGATACGGTACATTCCTGACTGACCTCACTTGGTTACTTGCAAAAGAGAAACGGTCATTAGTAATAATGCCGGATTTCATCCGTCACTTTCACCACTCAGCTTGACAATCCCAAGCTAAGGCAGATACGCTACACTACTCACGAGTAATAAGAATTATTGAAGAATTACTGACCACTCAGGTTTCGGACCATCTGAGGGGCATACGTGCCATCGAACATTAATAGGATTTCTCCCCGTCTTTGTTAAGCGGGATTGTAAGGAGTGATCTTGTTTGAACATCTCTATTTAGATAAAAGTTTTGTACTGATCAGATTTGACGTAGCTTGCGAAGCTCGACAGCTTCTTGACATAGTGAATTAGGCCCGCTAGGTCCTTAAAATTTTTCTGATACCTCTCACTTGAAGGCTCCTGCTTGTATCTTCTAAGGACAGTGGTTTTTAGTACGGGATTAAATCATGGCAGACACGTTTCTATGCTGCCATAATCCAGTTACAGAAGGCATATACAATTTTGTTTACTACACTGATTCAGTTGATCCTTGATTGTTACCGAACCGGCCCCTTCTAAACTAGCTTACCACCTACGGCCTTGTGTTAATAAAATACTCGGTTGTGATTGGTTGTCACACAGTATGTAGTAATATCCTACTGTTTTTCCGGTATTTGATGCTTGAGGTTGATCTGATAACAGAGCTTATTTGTTCGTGGAAGGCTTGTACAGAGCAGTCATGATTTAACTCCATCTCATCAGTGATGAATCTTATAAGTAGTATTCAAAATGTGTCTGTTAGTCTTTCAGGAGAACAACGTTATACAACAAAGCTTTCTTTTCAGTTCCAGTACAGTAGCATTACATCAGATGTGAGAAAATCGAGAGTGAAAGAGTGGGACCTTGCTGATCAGTTAGACCCACAACAGGGGGTACTGATATCAGATGGTCTCGCTTATTTAGCTACGAAAACCTCCATATCGTGGGTGGTTCATACCGACCATTCTCGGTCAGGTTATTTTGACAAACTTGTCCGGCTCAATTTCAACCATCAGTGGTTCGGCCTGCAACCTACTCAGACTCCAGATAACGATTAGACGAGAGTGACAATAGGCTTTGGTTAAATTGCTTTAGCTTACATGGATAAGTATGCTAAAAGCGAATAACAACCGCCTCGGCCGGACCTATTCTCTGCACCTGATACTCCTCTTTTTCTACTGAAATGCTCTGCACAAGGCCCAGAAAATTGATTCCAGTTTGACGCGGTGGTTTTAGCGGACGAATTGCCCGAGAATGACGACTTTGGTGCCTATTCTCTCTTTCTTTAGTCTCTACACTAGCAAATGCTCGCTTATCTTTTTTTGTTCGTCGTCAGAAGTATACAGATACACTGGAATTGGTGAATCCTCGTGGTCACGAGGCATCGAGGAATCACCATTTTGTCACTGAACGTGACTGAACTTGGCAGTCTGGGATATATGGTGGAGGAAAACAGATTAAAGGCTAATAAATACCTCAAAAGATGTTCAATTAGGTGAAAAATGCTTGGAATCGAGTGAGTTGTCATCGTTTTCGAAACAGTTTGGTGACAATCTGCTTGGGCAATGTTTCGCTTTGGACACAAAAGCTTCGTCAGGCCAAGTGACTAGGTTTCGAGTTGGGTCGAGATTCAAGGCGGAAGAAGAACCAATCTGTTAAGTCAAGCTAAATCTCTGTTGGGTGTCGGCCTGACGAGGCTTTTGTGCCAAAAGCGAAACGCTGCCCAACAATAAATCTACCAGTTGTCACCAAACGTTTTTCGAAAACCTCGAAAGATGCTTGATACATAAGTGAGAGGCCAGCAAATATTCAAGATGCTGTTGTCGTTTAGCTTCAGCTGCATACTTTTTTCCGGAAGTCTAACAAGATAGCAAATCATTAATAGAATCAAGTGCCGTCTGCAGATACTCATTAGAACAAGTCAGACCTTGGAATGATTTTCGTTTGTCTTGCAATAAAACGGATCTCAAAAGTGGAGGCACTGACAGTGGAGTTCGATTTCTAAGTGTTCCCGTCGCCAGGTCACACCATACTTGCAATAATGGTGAGACTCCATTTTTTATTTGATGATGCCACCCACTCCTTTGAAGGCTTCAGAAAATCAAAGGTTCCTCGAGGAGTGCGGTAGAGTAATGTCCCTGCAGTCGATTTGCTCTACTGCGTGGATGGGTTTTGAGTCAGGTGACACCTTAAGAGGAATTGTTGTAGGATGTTTGCTGTGGTTCCTTCCCCTTCCGCCTTAAGCAAAGCTCCTTGGAAAGTATCCACGAGACGTTCTGTCATGGCGTTTGCTTGTGGGCAATGTGTGGGCGTTCCAGCATGTTCAACTCAATCAGCAAGACAGAAGTTAGCGAAACGGGACGACGTGAACCATGCCCCATTGTCAGATACGAGCTTTTCGGGCTAGCTGAAACGTCTGAACACTTCTTGTAACTTGTTACTGATTGCTGTGGTCGTCGTTGTCCTCATGAGAAACATCTCCCGTCACTTGTTGTCCACGGTGATGAGAAAACTTTGACCGTTCACGGGACCTGCATAGTCCAAATTTATCCTTGATCACGCATTCAAGAACGGAGCTCACATTTTCTAGGAGACTTTGAAGTCAACGCATATTGGTGGCATGATTTGACGAGCGTTTCGAATTGGCTGTCAATATGAGGCCAATAAACATAGCTTCGGATCAATGATTTCATTCGTTTGATACCGGGATGTCCTTTATGAACTGTTGCAGCTCCTCCGGTACGACAACGCGTTCTGCGAACAATAAGCAATCGTCGACAACGGAAAGTGACGATCGTCTTGGATAAAACTGAACCAAGTCTTTGTTTTTGATGTTTGGTGACCACTTGGAATGGTGATACTTCTTTACTTGACTCAACAGCAGATCCTGTATGGTTGCCTTGCGAATTATTGTGAATGTGATTAGAGTACCTTTGATGGCTTCCCTGGGTGTACATCGTATTTCCGGTTCATCTGAGATCTGAGCTATAACTGAATCTTCCGAGTCCGGTGGTCTATTTTCTAAAAGTCTTGATAATGCACCCTCCTGACCGATCTTGTCAGTAGATTTAAACTTGATGCTAAAGTTGTAACCGAGTGACATTGTGGCCCATCTTTGAAGTCGTTTAGCAGAATAGCAAGGAATGTCTTTATTGGATCCGAACACGGCTAATGATGGTTTGTGGTCAGTAATTAAAGTAAATTTGTGACCGTAAAGCAGCTTGTGGAACTTTTGCACAGTAAAAACAACCAGCAGGGCTTCTTTTTCGATCTGACTGTAACTTCGTTCTGCAGCTGTCAAAGATCGAGCGGGATGGACTATGGCTTTTTCCGTAGCTGGATGCATCGGTCACAACAGTGGTATCCCGGGACGGGTCATAATGTGTCAGGGACGAAGAAATTCTTTAGCAATTGTAAGTTCGAAACCAAACCACGACTGAAACGAAGAAGTCCTCTGTTGACGCTGTTGCAAACAGTGTGGCTGAGTTTCACTACAATACAGAATTCAATCCCACCTTCGAACCATGGCTCCGAAGATGCAAAGACATCTTTTGGACGGAATTTGCGGATTAGGACAATAGTTGGAAATCATGACTGCTACTACGGAAGCCCGAAACAAATGAGCACAACAAGCTTATTAATTTTATTTTCCCAACTCCCCAGAAGACACATCCTTTGATGAACTTGTACAACTCTTGAAAGGTATTTTTGCGAGCAGTCTTTTTTTTACAGCTATAGCTGTTTGAATCTGGTTAAATCTGACAGTGGCTACTACATTACGTCTGCAAGCATAGTGAACCGCTTATATGAAAGACACAAACTCACGGAAATGAAAGTCACCACGAGATGTTTAAATCCGAACTCGATCTCTAAGCAAGACTGATCCTCCAAACGTTACCACGGAGTGCCAACGTTTGCTTAATCTGAAGCACGACACAGCTATGATAGAACGCAATCATCTTTCTCAGTCCGGCCATACCGCTTCGATGATTATTCAAGAAAACAGGTGCGAAGAAGCAATCGGTGGAATCCAGTAAGACACCTACGCCATACGGGGCAATGTGGTGAATGGTACTTTATCCGTTTTGCCATTTCAAGAAGCACCAGTGTCGGAAGTGCTCCAAGGCAGGACACAAAGAAGAGTGTTGTCGCACATCTTTTTCTCAACAAGGCAACAAACTATTCAAACGAATAGTACGTCCTTCAAATGCATGCACTAAATCAGTACTAGCCACTTTCAGTGCGGATTGGAAACGTCAGAGGAAATTTGTGTCAGCTTTCCTAAACTACACATCAGTACGTCTGCAACTTGATACCGCCTCCGAAATCCCAGTCATTTCCAGAGGTACGTGGGAAATGATGGGTAAATCCTTCTTTCAACCTCACAAATCGTGTTGCATCAAACGCTTCTGGCGGAAAATTACAGTTGACCGGTGTGCTTCCTTGTTCTGCGCTGTGCAACAATATCCATTTCACTGGATTATGTTGCTTGACCAATTTAACACATTTGGACCTCTTGGCCTGGAATGGATCGACCGGTTGAAGCTGTTTGAAATTCCCATGAATACTGTATACAACCTTGTAGATTCGGATGTCTCTCAAACCTCGAAATGGATAGAATAACTTCTTTTCTGGGTATTCAGCGATACTCTCGGAAAGTGTTCAACGTCAGAATGGAAAAACTGTGTTCACCTAAGGATGTCCGTTCCGCCTACTGTCTTGCCTTTAGTTGATCAAGAGCCAAAGAAACTGAAAAACGAGGGAATCATTCAACTAGTCAGTCATTCAGAATGGGCAGCACCGATTGTGGTAGTCAAAACGCCTAACCGCAAAGTCAGGATATGTGCAGACTTTTCAACTGGTCGCGACGAGACACTAGGGGATCATCAAGGCACATTTCAATTTCGGCCAAACGGTGAAAAATGTAGCCTGATGTGTACTTGCAAAGTGAAGTCTCAAGCGAGTGTATGCACTTACTTACAATCAATGGATATCGTTCAATTTTCCAATAAAACCGACTACCATTCGGTGTGAAGTCCACACCGGCAATAATCCAGAAGCTAATGGACACCATGCTACAAGGACTATCATTCGCTGTTGCTTATTTGGACGATATTATCATCATCGGCTCTGACCCATACTTTATCCGTTTTGCCATTTCAAGAAGCACCAGTGTCGGAAGTGCTCCAAGGCAGGACACAAAGAAGAGTGTTGTCGCACATCTTTTTCTCAACAAGGCAACAAACTATTCAAACGAATAGTACGTCCTTCAAATGCATGCACTAAATCAGTACTAGCCACTTTCAGCGCGGATTGGAAACGTCAGAGGAAATTTGTGTCAGCTTTCCTAAACTACACATCAGTACGTCTGCAACTTGATACCGCCTCCGAAATCCCAGTCATTTCCAGAGGTACGTGGGAAATGATGGGTAAATCCTTCTTTCAACCTCACAAATCGTGTTGCATCAAACGCTTCTGGCGGAAAATTACAGTTGACCGGTGTGCTTCCTTGTTCTGTGCTGTGCAACAATATCCATTTCACTGGATTATGTTGCTTGACCAATTTAACACATTTGGACCTCTTGGCCTGGAATGGATCGACCGGTTGAAGCTGTTTGAAATTCCCATGAATACTGTATACAACCTTGTAGATTCGGATGTCTCTCAAACCTCGAAATGGATAGAATAACTTCTTTTCTGGGTATTCAGCGATACTCTCGGAAAGTGTTCAACGTCAGAATGGAAAAACTGTGTTCACCTAAGGATGTCCGTTCCGCCTACTGTCTTGCCTTTAGTTGATCAAGAGCCAAAGAAACTGAAAAACGAGGGAATCATTCAACTAGTCAGTCATTCAGAATGGGCAGCACCGATTGTGGTAGTCAAAACGCCTAACCGCAAAGTCAGGATATGTGCAGACTTTTCAACTGGTCGCGACGAGACACTAGGGGATCATCAAGGCACATTTCAATTTCGGCCAAACGGTGAAAAATGTAGCCTGATGTGTACTTGCAAAGTGAAGTCTCAAGCGAGTGTATGCACTTACTTACAATCAATGGATATCGTTCAATTTTCCAATAAAACCGACTACCATTCGGTGTGAAGTCCACACCGGCAATAATCCAGAAGCTAATGGACACCATGCTACAAGGACTATCATTCGCTGTTGCTTATTTGGACGATATTATCATCATCGGCTCTGACCCACAAAATCTCCATAAAAGTCTCGGTCAAGTGCTGGACCGAATCCAAGACTATGGATTCCACCTCAGAAGTGAAAAGTGTCCGTTTTTAATGGATTCCATCAGATACCTCGGATTCATAATTGATCGTCATGGCCAAATCCGGACTCGGAAAACATAGATGCCGTCAAACTAATGCCTCCGTCCAAGGATTTACCTACATTGAGGTCATTCCTGGGATTCATCAGTCCCTGGTCCCCTGAAACGCCTTTACGCGTCAGCTGATTCTCACCTTCATTAGCTTTTTGGTTTGGCTGTGCATTGGGCTTTTAAGCGGCTATCCAGACTCGGGATCACGGTGTTAAAAACATTCAGGAAAGTTTAGCCCACAATACTGACCTACCCAATATATTAAAGGTAGATAGTCCGGGATGTTGACCCGCTGGTGCGCCGCTTTAGCGAGACATCCAGGATTTCTACAGTGTGCTAACTCACGGACAAACTTGACACTGATGTAGGTGGTGTTGAATATTGAAACCACCGAATTGGTTTTATTGATTGCACGATGAAATACTATCAACAGACGGGTGGTAAATGGAAAACTTGCCGATTGTCTGTGCTAAACTCTAACAGTCTAGCAAAACCTACCAGCGGAGGATCGAGCACTGAGCTTACCTTTCTCGTGACTCGTCAGGTGGGCCCAGTCCTCGGATATGCAATCAAACCGATAAGTTTAGCGAACAAACGAATAAGCCTATGGTTCGATTTTGCACCGCCATTTCTACCAGTTTCTAAGCAGGTCGTCTTGGGCCTTTAGCTTCGCAACTTGGAAGCTCAGAAGACTCGGTTTATCTTAAGTTCTCTCTTCACCTCTTGGGATGCTCAATTGTTCTCCTCTTTCAGTTGGGTGGATAGCATGCAAAGGGCGCGCGGCATGGTAGATTTCATGGTGACACACTTTGAGCATGCCTTCAACCATGTTGGCCTCCATATGTTTGTTGGTCAAGCCAGTTCCTCGACAATCAATCTAAATATGGATTGCCCTAGCCAGTTTACCGGCTTTCGGTAAGTTTTCCGCTGAGACTGTTAACTAGATTACAAACA